GGGTAGAAATAGTCACGACCAAGACTACCTTGGTACTTATAAACACCTTTCCTATGTTTGTATAATTTTTTCTTAGACTTTGAGATATTAAGTGCATGAGATTTTAGAACCATGGTTCCAACAAGATGAGCTTTGGCATTATACAAAAGTAGCTCATTTTATTTTTTCCTAAGAAGTAGATACGACATGAAATGAGGATGATTTAGAAATTTCATGTTCCAATATTTTTGTACAGCAAATGCAAGAAGAAATATAGATAGAGTTTTTTTAATCATTTCTTCTTCAAAGATGTTTTGTCTATACAACCATAGTTGTGAGACAATATGATATATTTCATTGTTGAAATCATTTAAATTTTTAAAATCTAAAAGACATAAATTTATTTAATTATGATTCATATTCAAAAAAAATAAAAAAATAAAAAAAATAAAAAATAAATTTGATGATTAAATCTAGATTTAAGATTCTTCCGAAGCTTGATTGGATCTTTTATTTCTAAATATTCATATTACAATATAGGTACAAGGTGATGATGAAAGATAAGAAGTGCTTTCCAATGGATAGCAAGAAAAATAGAAGTACTTACATTAGGAGATTCTTCAAACATAATTGCTTCTAAAAGTTGTTTTATAAATAAATTTACTTTTGACATTTTTGCCCATAGTAGATAATTATTTCCATCAACAACCAATAGTAGAAATAGAAGAACTTGAAAATGTTGAGAGGCAATATTGATAGTTGGAAAAGTAGAGCCAATTAAGGATGTTGAAGCACTCATTAAAAATAAATTTGTAAAGAAAATATAAGATAAAATAAAAAAGGTTGAATAAAATATACCTTGAAATATAAAAGTCAAATAAAATATTAAAGTTGAATTTGAAATCAAAAATATTAAAATTTTGAATTTTTTTTTTTCACAAAAATAAGGATTTGAGATAGATTACAGCAACATTAACAAATAATGGATAGTGAATGGCAACACTGATGGCGACTACAAACAACAAACAACAAATGGTGGATGACGCTGTCGTATTATATGCTATCTTGCTCAAGAATGCACCGAGCACCTAGATGTGGAAGGTGAGGATGTATTTCACAAGTATTCAAGAAACCCTAATAGGTTTCATCCATACAAGAAGAATATAATCTGAATTTCAATTCAAAAGTGCTAAAAACACTCTTCTTAGTAGTCTTAACTATACAAAAATCTCAATTACCTTGTTACTTTCATATTTAAGCCATTTAGATTTTTCTTATAAGTTCCAATCCTAATCAATGAGCTTTAACAAGCTGTAACATCCAATTTGACCATCTACTTGATGTAAAATTTTACATGCAATTGTCAATATAAGTCTTCTACATGCACAAGAATTTTTAGCCCAATCTAACTTACAAATTGTGAAAAAACCTCCAAAAATTGCAGTGATGTCACTCGGCTACTAACTTGAAAAGTGAAGCAAAAATCCTAGCAGAGATTTCTCCCTTTCCAGTTGTTAACTTTGACTCAAAATTGGTGTGCAGCTTGATCTTCAAGTCCTTCAAGACCATGCCAAATTTCACCTTGATCCAACTAGTAGATCTCCAGATATCACAGAAACCCTATCCAACCTCAAACTGCAAACTTCTAAAACTTTCTTGTGCTAAAAATTGAATATCTCTAAACCACGTAGTTAGATTATTAAAAAGAATTGTATATACTTAAAAAATCTAATAATTCAAATAAATCAAAATTTTAATTGTAGATGTTACACCAATTGCACGAACTAGCAAAAATTGCTAGCCCTAATTATATTATATAAAATCCAAATCACCAATACAAATCCCAACTTTGAAGAATAATTTCTAAGTTCTCAAAAATCTTCTAAAAACCATTCTTATGCTTCTAGAAAGAACTTCAAGCTAGCTCTCAAAACCTAACCTCTGATCTTCGAATGAATTCCTATTTTGTCTTAGATTGTTGTTTTAGTGGCCAAAGGTCTGATTTCGACCCAGTCTCTATAACCTAGAAGGTAAAATTACTAACTAACCTTCAACCTACTAACTATTAAGGTAAGAAAGTAACCTAAGAGGCTTTTATTAAAGCCATGTTTAGATACTTCAAATTATAATTGAACTAAGATAATTAGATATTAATTAGAATTTCAATTTTGATTATAATTTCACTATATAGTCATATTATATCATGACAGCAGACAACAATAGTAATAGTGACTATAACTATAGATAGCACGGTATGATATTTAGTGGTAATTTAGGAGTAGGATTGTGAAGGCAAGGAGGAGCAATAGCAATAGGAACAATAGAATAAGCAATAGATAAGCAAGGCAATGCAATGTAGAAAAAAAAAGATGAGGAAAAGGCAAATTGCAAGGTATACATAAGTTTTTAAGAACCAAGAGTAGTGCACAAGAATGGTTGTATTATTAACATGTTGAGAATGTTTTAGAGAGACATAAGAGTAACTAGAAGTAGTGTGCATACATACACAAAATATATACAAAATGTACATATACATTCATATATAAAATATACACACTATATATATATATATATATATATATTTATATACACACACAAGAGAATATATAGAAGGAAAGAGAGAACTTCTAAAAAAATTAAATATTGATGTGTTTATCTCACTTTTATACAAAAAAAAATGAGAAAAGATAAATAGTTTCTTCCTACTACATTCTAAACACTATAGCTACAATAATTACTGCAACTACAGTAAGTATTATGGAGAGTGCTAGCTACATTTAATGTTCTCAACATTATTAATGTGAAAAATAACATTTTTTATATCTTCTACAAACCTACAACTTTATTCAGAATAAATTTATAAGTTAACTATGTCATGTAATATATCCGTACATAGGGCTTTATTAGTATGAATTCTTAAAATTTGCCAAATTAATGACAAAAGAAATATTTCAAAACTTAAAAAAAATATTTTTTAATTTTTCTAAAATCATTGTAAGTATTATAAGTTTTAAGCTGTAAGTATAAATGGCTGTATTATTTTCAAATAAATATTTAATCAATTTGCATTCAAAATTTGAATCTGTAGAAAGATGAATGATGTATCAGTAATTTTATGTAAAATATCTCTAAATAATAATGAATGGTGGTTACAAAGCACTTCAAATTATACATAAAATGAATTTTTTATTTTTTTAATATATATATATATATATATATATTTATTTATATATTATTCAAATTATACATAAAATGAATGTTTTATTTTTTTAATATATATATATATATATATATATTTATATTTATTTATATATTGTTAAAGTGGTGAATGTTCTTCATGTGATAAAATTATAATATTGACTTCATTCTACATGTGACAATGGTTTTTATTTCCATTTAACTCCTAATATGGAGGCATTTCACACTACTTTTTATTCTTTTTTAGAGGTATTTTCATTGTAATTATAATGCTGCAGTCTTTGTTTTTTTATGTAGCAAAAATAATAAAAATAATAAGATGAACAAAAGTGCCCTCCTCAAAGACTAACATTTGTATTACCAACTTGATGTAAATCTCTCATACTATATTATATTACCACTTTTACATGTATGTAGGAAATAATCAGATTGAAAATAATAATAATAATAATAATAATAATATAAAAAATCTACTGTATCAATATTTAAGCTTAAGTAATACATGAGGTTAAATCACAGAGGTAGTTGAAAAGTCCGAAACTATGTTCTTTTTATTAGAATAATATTGACAAGAACAGCTTCTATGTTAGAGCATGGAAAGAGATATTTTATTTGACTAGTGTTTAAATTAGCCAGTGTTGAAATTATATCATAAACATTGTTCATGTAAGGAAAGTTCTCCTCCATCTTCCCCAAATGAATCTTCCTTTGCAAAATTTTGAACCAGTAGTCAGCAATCTAGTCTCCAATAATTCAAGATTAAATGTAGATTGTAGTCCACAATTACAATAAGAAGTAAGAATCCACACTTGTTCCCCTTTTTTCCTTTTTTCTTTTTCCAGTTGTGGCGCTTGATATCACCATATGATATTAACAAAATAGTTGTATTCTTCACGATGGTATTTCCAAGTGGGCCCTAAAAACAAACAGTTCACCATTTAACAAGTAGTTCTTCTCATCCATCGATAAACCATGTCAACTTAGGATATAAAAAAAACATGCTATGCTTTGATACTTTATGCTTGTAGATACTATCACGGAGAACCCCTTTTTAAAATAGGCACAATTCTTGAGGATTGTCGTTGAAATGCAGACTCACTCTCATGTATGTGTGGAGATGTAGCAAAAGATTGTTAGATGCCTAAAAATGCTACAGTCCATCCATCCACCCATTCATTTCATCCGTAAATCAATTTATTCATCCAACTCACACTTTTCACGGGCAATATTCAAGTCATGACCCTGCCAAGAGGGATGGCCGTGTGGTGAGAAGGAATCATACGTTGTTCCAGAGGGTTCGAGGTTCTTGCCCTAACTACTACTCTCCACAAGCACTGAAATGAGCGATTGGGGATGATTTCCTTTGCAACCGAAGCCAACCGAAGGACCGTAGTGGAGGCAACGGTGGTAGTGGTGGTGTGGCCCACACTGTGTTGTAATTGCAAAAGTGCGCGAGAGAGAGACAGAAGGATGGGAACCGGAAACGACAGAGAAGAGGAGGAAGAGGAGGAGGAGACAACTGGAGCCGGGGCTGTGCACATCTCCACATTCGGCATTGCTTATATTAGCCCAGCGGACTAATTTATCAAGGGAAATGGAGCAATGCAATGCAAAAGAAAGGCCACAATAATTTACATATATTTATATATATAACATGGTGCGCACACGTGGACGCTGTCGTGACCACGGGCAGGCGACAGAAAACCAACGAGGTCATGAGTTTCACACCGTGGTCTCTCTCCGGGCAGGAAAGAATTTCGGCATCTGCTCGACGCTTCGACTGACGCGACTGCGGCTATCGTCGTCGTCGTCGTCGTCGTGTTCCCGTTTTTTTTTCGCTCCTATCCGTCCTCATCGCCGTTCGATCGACGGCTGCTACTGCGCGACCCTGCGGTCGGCACGGGCAGCCGCGGACGGGCGGCCGAAGGGACCGGGTTGCCCTTTCCCAGAACACACCCGCCCGTCCGCCCGCGAAATCCCAACAATCCCTCTGTTGCACGATTCTGACCCATTGTTTTGTTGTTGTTGTCCCTTCGGCGTCCGCTTCTCATCGATTTCCTCATTGTCGCACTTCCTGAGCGAGGAGGACGAGATCGCGAGGGTTGTAGTGGAGTAACTTGGAGCTTGCATCGAGGGAGAGATAGTCTTCGGTGGCTTGGTGCTTTGCGAGGTGAGCGTCGCGTATTCCTGCCGTTGTTGCAATTAGTTTATTTTTATTTTTTTCTTCTTCCCCCTTGTGAGACAATGGCCTGGGCTGGTTCAGTGTTATTGGATTCGGAGAGAGAGGGGGTGGGTCTTTAAAGAGAATGTGAGTTGTGAAGCGGAGATGGTAGAGTGGTGCTTGTGCCGCAATGCGTAGTTGACTGTCACTTTCATCGTGAGGTGCTGAAGCGGATGGGAGGGATTTGAATGAGGTGGAAATGATGGGGGTGTCGATCTGGAGGGCATGGATGTTGCGTTGGTAACGGGAGGGATGCAAAATTGATCCCACATGTTGGTACGTTTGTCTTGGTTAGAATTTCCGGCGTGCTCGTCGTAGTATTGCGATCTCTGCGCTTGTTCTTGGGTGTGGTACGCAACCTTGGTGGATCCATGTGAAGAGAGGGAGGTCAAAGCTGTGGTGTCTAGAACCCAAGTTTCTATCTGTGGTGATCACGACGATTCGACCTTGGAAACAGTAGGTTGAAAGTTGTTAAAATCGATCGTTGCTCTTGCACGAGGGCATCAAAAGCAGTACAGAGGAGCAAATGTTGGCCAAAGTCATCAATTAGTGATGCATCGATTCCTGTGCACTGCAAATTTTGTACGTTTGTATACTAGTGACAGGTTGAGGTTCTAAATGAGTTTGCTTCGTGTGTGCGAAAGTTAAGAGCAGGCTTGATCAGGTGTTTTATGACAGAATCTTTAGCATTTTCAATGCACGCCGAGTTCGTGACTTGCTTACTAGAGATTGTAAAAGTACCTCTAAGCTGCTGTGTTTCTGCGATGTATCTGCAGATCCTGTGTAGCGTCGAAAACGAACAGAGGAATTGGCGTGACCTACAGCATCGTCCATCATCCTGACAATACGCCTTTGTTTCGACTTGTAGAGGTTTCACTTCGAACCCATCCGCTGTGAGACATTGCTCGCAGCTGGGTGGCTCAGACACCATGATGATGATGATGCGTACTCTTCCAGGCGTGACTTCCTCTGCCATCGAGCACGTGTCTTGTCAGAGCAACCCCTCCAGCCCAACGATCGCTCGAGCCCAATATGGACTCCCACGCTCCCAGGCTTCCAGGCTGCATGCTGTGTCAAACAGCACCTCGCTGAAGATAACGCTGACCTGCAACAAGCTGAGCTTCAATCCGTTCCTGGCTGGTGAGTTGCTTGGGTTGAGCTCCTGTGTGAAAATTGGTCCAGCCGTGAGGAGGGCCCCAGTTCACAAAATCTGTGCACAAGCTGCGGATGCCAGTGCCTCTGATGCATACCCGGAAGGATCAGTCAAGGCTGGCGATGTGGAGGTTCCGAAGCCCGCAATGGGGAGAGTGAAAATTGGTATCTACTTCGCGACTTGGTGGGCATTGAATGTGGTGTTCAACATCTACAACAAGAAGGTGCTGAACGCGTATCCGTTCCCGTGGTTGACATCCACGCTGTCCCTTGCCGCGGGTTCAGCGATCATGCTGATTTCATGGGCCCTGCGGATCGTGCCGGCACCAGACGTAGACGCGGAGTTCTGGAAGGGACTTTTTCCGGTACGCCACTGCCCTCGGATTATGTCCTGAATACTGCGCACGGGTCAGTGGGTGAAATTGTTTGACTTGGAATGACGGTTTTCATCGTTGAAGTACAAATAGAAATGTGAAAACGTAGTAGCGACCCTCATTGGCACCGGAGTCTAGTGTTGTTGTTATCATCAGGAGTTCGCGTAAATCTTAATCCTGCAAACCCTGTTGCTATGGGGATGGCTGTTTCTCCGTGAGCACTGCTGAATATGATGCAGTATGGGATTTTTTATAGATGCCCGGAATCTCAGTACCTTGGAATCATTTCTAGACTGAGATCCATGCTGCGTTCCCCACCTGTCAACAAGGATCCCAAAGTATCCGCGATATTTCGGTGCGATTAGGATCATGCATTGTACGTTGGTTCTGGAGTAATCATAGGACAATTACATGCAGAGGGTTCAGTTTCTCCTGCGGTCTGAGTACGAGTGGCTCGAAAGAGGGACGTGGATAAGCAGCATTTCTTCCTTCTAAGCTATACGGTGCTTTTCCATCCTTAGCTTTTACCGGTTGCGGCTTCGGAGGGCTGTTGGCCAGGGTGAACAGGAGTACCTGCCTGTATTTGCAATGTGGGATTGGTGTTGGTAACACTGGCAGCACTGCTTATCTTTGTACACTGGGATGTATTCTAACGTTTTTATGAAATGCACAATGGAAGGTGGCATTGGCGCACACGATTGGACACGTGGCAGCGACTGTGAGTATGTCCAAGGTCGCAGTATCCTTCACGCACATCATCAAGAGCGCAGAACCCGCGTTCAGCGTGGTGATCCAGAGATTGTTCCTGGGGGAGAACTTTCCGTTGCCTGTATACTTGTCTTTGCTGCCCATTGTTGGCGGTTGTGGTTTGGCTGCTGCTACAGAACTGAACTTCAACATGACAGGTGCTGTTCAGTTTGACTTGCGTCGGTCAAAGAGACCAGTTGTTTTTGGTGGATGGAATTGGTATGAATGTCTTATATGATTTTCATGAAGTAAGTGGTAAAGTGTGAATCGTCTGACGGGGTTGGTGTGGCAGGATTTGTGGGGGCCATGGTTTCGAATATTGCGTTTGTGTTCCGCAACATCTTCTCGAAAAAGGGAATGACAACGGGCAAGAGTGTTGGTGGGATGAACTACTACGCATGCCTGAGCATGATGTCGCTTGTGCTGTTGACGCCTTTCGCAGTTGCCGTGGAAGGCCCGAAGGCTTGGATGGCGGGATGGGATGTTGCGAATGCGACTGTTGGGCCACAGATTTTCTGGTAGCTGCATCTATTAGTTTTCCTGTTACTACTAGAACGTAAACTGTATTGTTGGTGCGGTTTTTAGTATGTGAGCTTGTGCATGAGCTTTCCCCAGGTGGTGAAGTTTTCGGTCGAGTAGAGAATGCGTTGAGGATAATGAGAGTGGAGCATGAGGGTCAGGTTTTAACCAATCCGTTTGGTGATGGTTGTGTGTAGGTGGGTGGTGGCGCAGAGTGTATTCTACCACTTGTACAACCAGGTGTCATACATGTCGCTGAACGAGATTTCGCCACTGACCTTCAGCATTGGCAACACCATGAAGCGTGTGACGGTGATTGTGTCGTCCATCATCATTTTCCACACACAAGTGCGACCAGTGAACGCCGTTGGTGCTGCCATTGCCATCCTCGGAACATTTTTGTACTCGCAGGTACTTTCTTAGCGACATTTGGTGTTTGGGAGAAATGAGTGGAATGGTTGCTAGAAATCTGACGTATGTGAGGATGTCATTGTTTGAAAGTGAGAAGGTAGGTTATTGTTGTGTGACGTGTCTACGAACAGATAAGCGTTGCAGGCGGTTTTCTAAGCAATGTGTTCCATGATTTTGTGCAGGCCAAGCAATAAGTGTTGGAGCTCTGCGAGGCCCGGATTGCGCAAACCTGTACTGTGATTGATTAGGCTTGTGTCAGAAGTGTAGGAGAGATGTCGGACATGAGAATCTGCTTGCGATAACTTTATTTAAGAAGTTGTGCAAGCTGGGATCGAGTGTGGCTGCACAAGGATGTGGTTATGAGGTTATTCACGTGTTCCACAAATCTGCACATTGATGAATAATTCGCAGGGCAAACAACCCAGTCTTGTAACACCACTGTTGGATAAGCGGTTCGAGGATTTCAATGTTAGAATAACAACGAATCTGCTGTCTACAGAGGCTGGTCGCAGCCAGTCCATTCACATTTGACACGGAAGCACTGTTTTGTGTGGACCGCGCCCAGCAACCTCCCTGCCCACAGTTCTGCAAGGCTTAGTAATAGGTTCTGCATACCGACGTCTTTGTGGATTTGGTGTGGCATTACCTACAACCTTGAGCATTTCTGTGAAGGAACCGCTGTTTGGTTGTTTATTTCTTTGATTGACATCGGTTTTCTGACCCGTTTCAGAGTACTACATTCTCCACCCTCGGTTCCAAGGCAGGATAGACCTAACATTCCAGCTTAGCTCTAAGCTCATACACGGCAAGTATCCTACGAGAGAAGCATATTCTTGTGCGAGGTGCTCTTCACTGATCATGATCACATCGAGTATTGCTCTATCAATCCAGCTGTCGTAGATGAGAATTGAGAGGAATATCATTAGCTAGCTGCTTTCAGGTGCTCTTAGTGATGGGGGAAGTTTCACAACTTTTGCAAAAAGCCTTTTGGTTCAAGGTTTTTCGTTCTATGTGAAGAGGTATACTCAAAACACTTCGTCGCTAACAAAGAATCCGTTAATTAGCACTGACTAAACATTCTCATTATTTTAACATGAGTATGTCAGTCCATATATAGCCAGTACTCATCTATATCTTAACCAGACCAGATACACTCTAGCTTCGCTACTATTCAATTCAGTCGCACATGTCAACAATCTGGTTAGCAGATGACTGGATGCTGTTTGATTTTGATTTTGATTTTTTTTTTATTCTTTAAGTGACATGGAATGAATGTCATATCAAAGAGAGTTGATTTGAGTGTGGGGTAGCTAATGGATCTATTACTACATTTTTTTACTTTTAAAAATGGATCTATTACTACATTTTTTTTTTTTTTTTTTTTTTTTTTTTTTTATGACTCTATTGATATAAGTAATTTCCAAGTAATCATCCTTAATTAAAAGTCACGTCATTAGAAGCACTTATATCTTATTTAGCAATTAATTGCAATAAAAATAAAAATAAAAATATTAAAATAAAATATACTGTTATTATTTCTATTAAATGTATTTTCTTTACCTTTTATAAAAAGACTATAAGGTGCTTTTTGCATATTTTAAATGATTTATTGTAATTGTTTGTAGATTATTTTATAGCACCAAATAAATTACCATATGTCAAAAATGATTAGAGTTTTCAAACATAGTCCTAAAGATTAATTTTTTCACATATCTTTAAATTAGATTTTTAATAAGGCATTTCTATTGAATTCCCACATTACTTTTTATACCACCAAATGTTTTTAAAGAATATTTTTTTAGTATAAAAGAATTTTTAATATCTTTATTTATCAATGAAGATTTGTATTGATATTAATTTAATATCTATAAAATACTAAAAGTAATGAAGATTTGTATTGATATTAATTTAATATCTATAAAATACTAAAAGTAAAGTAATAAGATTTAAGAAATTAGATGGTAAGCATTGAATTACTTTTATACCAAAATAAAATAGAATAGTAGATATATATAAATTTGTAGCTTATTCAATACATATTTCTATATCTATCTATCTATCTATCTATCTATCTATCTATCTATCTATCTATCTATATATTAAAAATATACAAAGTCATGAATATGTTTTCTTACATCCTTACTTCTATAAAATTATATATATTATGATAATCTAAATAAAGATCTAGGTAAAAATATATGTGTTCTGAGGATTTTAGACTTAAGTTGTGGTAATTTGAAATTTGATTAGATTCTTGGCTATAATATATTAAAAATAATATAATATAATTATAGGTGCTTTAAAGTATTTTTTGAGTTATTCTATCTCACTAAAATCAATCTTAATTAAGTTTTTATTTTTTATTTTATTTTAAAAATTCATATTTAATTAAAAATTAAAAATTAAAAATATTATTTATATCAATTTATTAATTATAATAAATTAATTTAATATATATTATATATATAATAAAAATATATATATAATATATTAAATTATATATATTATTTATATCAATTTAATATTAAACATTATATATATATTTATTTATTTAATAATGAAACATGATTATTTGCATAAATTATAATAAAATTAAAACTCTAATATTTCAAATTGATTCATAATAATTTATTAGAAATTGATAATTTTCTTTCCTATCTATAATTTAAATCTAAAATAAAAAAATATGTTAAAATTCTACAATTAGAAATCACATTTAATATATTTAGTTGTCAAGGATATAAATCACAAAAAACCAAAAGATCAATACATTCTTATGTCACTAGAAGAGAGTAGATTATTACTCAAAGATGGTATAATATTAAGACTAGAATGGCTATTGACAAAAGAAAAAATATTGGAAATTCTTAAAATAAGACTAAAAATAAAAAAATACATTAATAAGAATAAAGCATACTTCACTCTACCTTCCATATATACTATCTAACTAAGAGCTATATGTCAACATTCTATAGGACCTCAAATACATGTCAAACTTGCAAGGCATATGTTTAACTTACAAAACAAGTTTTGTACATGTATGCCATATGGCTAACTTGTATCATAAGTCACCAATATATGTGATATATAATAAACTTGTTGGCTAAGTTTTCAATCTATTAATCATCTACAAATACACATTAAATCAAATCTGCATTTATGAAGCTCTAAAAAGCTTGTCCACAAGATATTATCAAATTCACTTATATTTATTTCTATCTAACTCCTTCAATATAGATAAATATGTATATATATGCCATTACTCTCCTTCTCATCTTCTCCCTCTTTCCTTCTTTTTTCTCTCTCTTTTAGAAAAAAGTCCTATAAAAAGTAATGATCACATGTTGAAAAAGTCAAAGATGTAATAAATTATATTTGCTACATGTTTAAATTTTTGTTCTCTTTATAGGTAGTTGATAGGTTCTTTCAACCATTGATAGTATGTCATATTAGGATGAAAAGACTACCTTATTATTCAATCATTGTTAGGACCTTTATAACTTCTTTCAAATAAATATTTGAAACACCATTAAAGATGGTTCCTACCTTCAATAATATGATGAAATATTAAGATTCCCTTCTAAGATTATGATATCAAACATGTATTTCACCATCTATTTGAGAAAGAAAATATTTTTTTAAGGATTTTTATTTCTATTGTATTATTTTGAAGGTCGTGAAAATCTCAATGTCTTGTTCGGTAGCTCAACAATAATAGTTTTTAAGGTGAATTTTCTAATTGTTAATTTTTAATTAATTATATACCATAAATACACAAAAATTATATAAAAAAAATAAAATGTAAAATGTAATATTTATTGAATATTATTTTTTATGTAGCAAGAAATTTTTTGACTTATAATCTTGATTTTGATAGATGTTATTGATAAAAAAAAATTTCAACCTTTTTTTTGTTGTATTTGCAAGATTTTTTATTGACTTTTATGTGTATTTAATAATATCATGTTTATTTCAATCTATAATATATTTTAATCTAGTAGATATTGCTTGAAATGTAAGACTTCTTTAATCTCAAATACTTAATTATATTCCACTTCTATAAAAGAAGATAGCATTTGTCTTGTTTTTAGTATATCTACAATCTTGTATGGCTTAAAAAATAAACATATAAAATACAAGATGGATCTTCATAAATTTTGGTCAATGTAATCAATAAGCAACTCGATGATTTGTTTACAGATAAAAATGGTCCAAATTTATGGTAATTTAACTTATCATAATAAAAACAAGTCTTGATATTACAACAAAGTAACCATACTTTATTGTCAATGTAAAACTAAAGTTATTCCTTGTAATAAGTGTCTATATTGATCTTTTATCATTCTTTGTTTTTCTTTAATTATGTCTTCATTGTTGTACCTCTAATAAACTATCTAACAAATCTTGCACTATAGGATTATCAACTTTTGAGAAGTTAAAAGTATGAAGTTATAGATGATGATTATAATTAAGAAAAAAAAGTGTTTGTTATGTAGAAGAATATACTATGTTATTATAAACAAACTTTGCTAATAGCAAAAGAGTTATTCAATCATCTTGATAGTAATTGATAGTATATCTCAAATATTACACCAAATCTTGATTTAACTATTTTATTTGTCCATTAATTTAAAGATAAACTAATCAAAGATAGTTCAATTTCCATCTTTAATATCTAAAAAAAACTTTTCAAAACCTTAATACAAATTAAGTCCCTCTATTTGATATAATAATCATTATCTATTTAATAATCTACAATGACAATAAATATTATTGGAAAAGTATCATATTGCTTAAATGTTGTTCTTAAAGAAAAAATTTACATCACTCAACTTAAAGGCTATGTAGTACTTGGTCATAAAAATATAATATGTTATTTATTTAAATCCTTATATGGATCAAAATAAGCTCTTTTTTATAGTATGATCTATTTGATGACTTTCTAGTTACTAATGGATTTTTAAAATGAATTTTGGATATCAATGTTTGTTATAAATACCTATCTATATCTGTTATCTACCTTTGACTTTATATTAATGATCTAGTTGTAATGTCAAATGATTTACCTTATCTCGTTTCAATTAAAACATTCTTTTTTTTTTGTTTTTTTTTATTACAAACAACAATGAAATTGAATATATCTTAGATATTCAAACTTTTATAATCATGGCAATCGTACAAATATGTATTGAGTATATTAAATTATTTTTCTATGAATAATTGACATACCATTTCTACTCCTCTTGATGCCAATATTCACTTTTCTTAAGGTTCCAACATCATAGGAAGGGATGTTAAATTCATGGCATCAATTCCATATACACATATCATTAGGAGTCTATAATATCTTGCAACTTATACTAGGTGTGATTTAGCCTTTGTTGTACATTATATGGAACAATTTATGGCTAAGTCTAGTTCAATTCATTGAACGAATT